TCTGACATTTGTATTCTGTTACCGCGTGTTTTTATTTGTTGTTGAGAAACGTTTACACAGAAAAATATTTATTGTTGCTGATATTTGGTACAGTTATTTTTCCTTGTAGTATTTTAATTGGTCTTTTTACAGTTATAAATCTATTTACTCGGTTGTTTTACAATTATACTTTTAATTGCTTTTCTGTTTCGTTGTAATGTGTGTAAGCCTTTTTTTTTTTGAAAAAAGTTAACAGAAGAAATCTTGCTTTTATTTTTCAGTTCGTATGAATCATTTCTGGTTGATTTTCAAAAAGAAGAAAAAAAAGAAAGGAGACATAAAAATGACGACAGTGTTGCAATTATTTTTTTTTTCTATTTGTAAATTTGCAGTGCAGAAAAAGAAATTTTTTTTTTTGAGCTCAACAGATTATACCGCAAACATAGATCAGTTGGGTTTTTTTTGTTTTTTAGTCAACGATATGATTGACCAAAATGATGTGAGGAAAAAATGGAGAGGAGAAAGGGGGACGGGGATAAGCGAGAGCAAAGCAAAATGGACAGTGTTTTGCCTTGTTTCATAGATACATTATCAATACAGTTAGGTATTATAGAATAATTTAATTTATCAGCATTCTCACCATGAAATAGCGTAAAATAGAAAAATAAATTTGAATGAAGGAATGAATGAATGACGGATGGATGATCAGTTATTAAAATATCTTTACAAACCGTTGTGATTGTTGTCAGAAGAACATCGACAAAAACGGGAAAGAGCAAAAGTACATCATATAAATTTCAGCATAACAAATATTGCATTAAAAGTTCTAAAACAAACAAATAAACAAAAAAAGAACAACAAAAAGGTAGAATTTGCCTTTTAAAAATAAAAATCCATCATTTATTGCTACTGAACAGAACAGTATATATAGTCAAAAATATAGATTTTTCACAATTTATTTTTCAAAAAAAAAATAAATAAATAAAAGCTAAACTAACTATTCTTTTTTTGTTTTTTGCCTTATTTCCATGCTCACTATCGCATCAATTAATATGACTTACTGTTCCGCGTGTAGGGAAACAACAACAAAATAGGTTTGAGAAAAAAGAGACTTGTTAAATATATCAACTCATTTTTTCTTGATAAGTAAAATGCCTCCAATGGGCAAAACAAACTGTTTTACAGTGAAAATACAGTGCTAAATCGTTGCAAGTAAAAGATTCAGAAAGATGCATCAGAAGACAACCATTCTCTTCTTCTTTTGTAGGTTTTCTTTTCTTTTTTTTTCCTTTTTGTTTTCTATCTTTTTTTAGTATATTAAAGAGATCTTTTATAATGCGAATAATAAATTCTGTAAATTCTATACGCGATATAAGAACGTCTATCAACAACAGTAGGCAAACCGTATAACTTCATAAATACAAACGTAAATGAGAAATGTAAATTTAGCATATAATTTTAACCTAGACGACCGACTGGGAACATTCACCAATGTACCGCACCATTTTTGCGATCGAAACGATTCTTGATCATTGCTGATGTTCACTTTGATGTACGGATAAAAACAAAATGTTCGACAGTAAAGTTTTGTGCTTGTTGTTGCACTGTTGGCTGGTAATATAGTAAGATTGAAATCAAATTGAGCAAACGGTGATGCTTTTTTTGATAACGGCTTCATAACCGTATGGTCACATATCAGTTCTGGTACTATTACCGTCGTCACCTAAAGAAAGAATGAAATGCTAAAACGCTAACAAATTTTATTCTTTATTTGCCAATTTTTTTGGGAGAACTTTGCAAATTTTTTGCAAGAAAAAATTCACTTTATTTTTGGTCTTCTAATCGCTTTGTTTGAAATGCTTTTTCGTTTAATCAACGTCGTCACTTTCGCTGACCACTATTTAACGTTTACCATCGGCTATGCTAATAATTATAACCCTATATCCGTGGAAAAAAATTCTAGGCTTATAAAATAATATTCTGTTTGGTGATAACATGAGCAATTTGTGATGTATCAGTGACATTATTCGTTCAGTTAAAAAAAGCTTTTTCGCACATTATAAAGCATCAATTTTTGAAATTATTGTAGTTTGTAATGTTTAAAAAAAAAACTTTTGAAATCTCAACTGAGTTTCTGGTCACTAAGATTACAACAAAGGTTACAGTTTCTCACAGCTGTTGACCATGCAGTTATATAAATTTATCACAAACTTAAAGCTACCGTTGATCAAAGCCACTTAGCCTTCTCAACTAAAAACTTTGGGAGACAGGCAAATTGGCGATATATCAGCAATTCCTTTGATCAGAAAAGCCACTGTACAAAAGCAGTACAAGCAAGATAGATAAAGACGACGAACAACGTCAATAACTATAAAGCCAACTAAAAAATAAAAATTCACCAACAGATATGTACTTCAAAATCCATTTTACGTATTTTTTTTTCCAGTAGCTAGCATTTGTAGTAAAAGTTTGGCAAAAAAAAAAGTTTACTTCCTGATTCAAATAAGCATAGTTTGAAAAACCAAAAAAGCTGGAACTTTAAGGAAAAGGGCAAGGAAACTGTTGACAATGAGCGGTGGCGAAGAGAATAGAGTGTAAAAGGTGAAAAGCAGTACAGATACAGAATAGATTTAATTCTACAGTCTGCTGATGTTGTCGACGATGGTGACGTATTCGTTTGCACAGTCCACAATAGAGCCTTCAAATGCTAACCCTTATGTAAGAGGATTCTTTTTTTGTTTTTTAACATAGCTTTTACTGACTGAACTATTTGACTGCGTAGTATGCCTAAAAACTATAAAACAATTTCTTACACTTTTACCACCTCAAAATTAAACTGCGGTATTGTTTTTCAATGGAACACTTCTGATAAAAACAGGCAGCAAAAGCTGGCAATTTGAGAATGGCAATAATCAGCAAATGTTCTATTGCACTGGCTTAATATCAGCCTTGACTTTGGTGCCATCAGCAGATATTTATTATTGAGATCTGCTGTATCATTTCCAATCTTTTATTAAGTTTAATTACTCCAAAAAAAAAGCTTTTCTGAAGTAGTCGTTTGAAAAAAAAAAGCAGAGAACAAATCTCAAAGCATGTCTATTAGTGCCGTTGTCGGTCATCGATCAGCACTGTTCTACAGTTTGGTTTACTAAAAAACTTTAAATCTTGCTAACTTTTGTTTGATTAGGTTTTTCCTCTCCCTACCTGTTTAAAAAAAGAAAAAAATTTACCAAAATTTTTCATTATACGAAAATCAAAAAAAAAAAA